TTTCCAGCACGATTTATGTGCAGGCCCTGCCATAGTAAGGAAATTCACTCTAACATTAGTAGTTATTTCTTAGGTCACGTGGCCGTGTTCCACTTTTGACGTACCATTTTCAGGAATGGGGGGTTTCAAATAAAAGAGACAGAAATCTGGTTATCATTGCTTATTATTAGGATGAACACGGTTATTGCTTACACGGGGCCCCCTAGCAGCTGAGCTCCACAAAGCTTCCCTCCCCTGTGTAGAATAAGTGCTTATGAGCCAGATTATATTTATAAGCTGAATTTGTATTTTTGTGTAACTCTGGGTGATGGCAATAAACAAGACAACTGCAATTTGAACATGATACACACAATATTCATATTGTTGTTGGAGCAGACTCATACGCTGGTAAATCTTATTAAAGTTTGAAAATGAGCATGCCCCAATATTTAGAAATCAAATTCAAAAGTGCAGCCACATGAAACTGCACTGTTCTTGTCTTTTCCGGAGTGGTTGAGAAGGGCTGCCTGTTCCACCAACTTGCTTTAATTGCACTGATGTGAGAAGCCAGCGAGAGCTTGTTAAGCCTCTCTGATTGTTCTCCTCCGGAGCCCTTCGCCTATCTCTCCCCCGACGATGACACTGCCCAGCATCACACCGGCTCAATTATCCATGAAATATTCTCCCACACGCGTCCTCTGATGACGCATAATGTTAAGAATGACTCTCCGGTTGTGCTTTTCAGCTACGCATGAAGATCCTGGGATGTGGGGTACAAAAAATACACACACTCTGGAAAGGCTGCAAGCCCCTTTTTTTTATTTTCGCCTTGTTTGTCGTTTTTATCTTTAATTAGCCAGCTGATGGTGAATTGTTTGTCGGCTGTTATTGGTCTGTTTCCCTCTCCTTCTACAGAGCAGATTGGTGTTCCACCGGTCACGGTTGCCATGACAACAGCAGGGACACTGCTGACTGGTGGGACGTTTGCTTTTCATGATATAGATTGGCCCCATTGTTGTATTTAAACTGGCTGAGGGATTTTAAGGGTTTGGGGTACTCAACAATATAAACACAGGCCAAAAATAAGTTGTGCTTTTGTGAAATGCAGTGGGATGGCATGTGAATGGCATCTGTAGAAATTTGAAGTGATCCAGCTTTTTGTTATTCAGCACCAGCACCGCACTGCAATAGCAAAACTCCAGCCTCATCTTTAATTCATGATTTACCACTTCACAAAAAAAAAATCAGCTTTTCCAAAATAATCCAGTTCTACAAAAGCCATGCATGTGTGTTCCAACTAAATCTGCTTCCCTGTTTTAAACAAGATATTCCTATAAAAAAAAGTGAAGTAGCAAACTGCTGTCGGGTGACAAAGGTTTTGCATCAAAGGGAACACAATAACACCGGTGGCAAACACGTAAGGAGCCCCTCTGGAGACTGTAGGTGGCTGTCTGTGCTGACACAAGGACTTCACAGGCCATTCATCCTGTGGTTGTTCAGCCACTCACCTAACACCGCACAACAGGACCACCATGCAGGGCCGCTTTATCACTGGAACACATGAAGACACCAAAAACAACGGCTACACACAGGGCCGCTTCGTCTGGGGCATAAACAGAAACACACCGCTGAGGTTCAGCACACGGCAACAAACACAGTGTCATTTGCAAACACACCGTTCTCTCATTACTGAGCACAGTCAGCTCGTCACTGGGGTCTGTCTGGATTCCACCGTTCTAGCAAATAAACGCAGACTGGGGCTTACTTGATTCTTGATGAAAATCAGATGTGTGATAGCAAGATGGTAAAATTTGTGTTTTTTCTGTTCCTGCCTTTCTTAAACACACACATATTCAAATAGATACCACTTGAGAAAACATATTGTTTGACAAGCTTTTTTGATTACTTGCAGTTTTGGGAAGTATTCCAGAGGTAAAGGGTGAAACTTGAGGTGTTACTGTCTCATCTCCATCTAAACTTGATAAGCAGTTGGAAAGCTGTGTATGTGGGGATGCAGTCACTGTGGGAGATATTTGGATCTCAACGCTACACTGAGACGAGAAAATCACTCTAAAATAACTCTGAGTGAAATACTGGGCAGGTTCATCCAAGTGGCAGCCACCACGGCTAAGTGTTGAAGCCAAATGTGAAAGTAACTTAAAGCTGATCAATATTTTTTATATTAACAACGGATCAAATGACTATGAAAAGGTCCCACTTATAATGATGACAGAAATGTTACCCAAGTCTGGAGCGCTCTTTGCTTTCACAGATTTTTTTATAGCTGTTTTGGCCCACAAACCCAGCTGTCAGTAACCTAATTTCCAGTTGTAGCAAGCAGATGTTTTTAGTAAAAAAAAAAAAAAAACCTTCATAAATCCACTGTACTCTACCTGCCCAAAACAACAGACAAACGATAGTTTCCAAGAATAAGTTTGCAAATAGGTGATGAACAAAGTGGAGCATTCACGAGTTGGTGGAGACCAAAACTGAGTTAAAAGAGAGTACATATTGGACTCAGGTTGCTCAGTGCCTTTTGGATTTAAATAGAAAACATGTTCAATATGAAAACTTCATATGTTGATAATATGTCTGCGTTTTTCAATTTTTAGCAGCCAGAAAATAAATTAATTAAAATTCTGTTCCTTTAAAAAGGACCAGTGTGAAGGATTTAGTGGCATCTAGCAGTGGAGTTTCAGATTGCAACTAACTGAACAACACTTGCATATGTATTTGACAACCTGGGAATGAGAATGGGCTGTTAAGTGTGTAGAAGACACTACAGGAAACCCACACCTATCTAGAGCCAGTGTTTGATTTGTCCATTCTGGGCAACTGTAGAAACATAGCAGTTCAACATGATGGGCGGTAGATATAAACAGCTCATACTAAAGTAAAAAAAAAAAATGTATTTCTATATTCAAGTGATTATACAATAATAAAAACATTGTTATGAATATTATATTCTGTTTTCCTCCTCTTATATACAGGAATTTAAAAAATAAATAAATAAAAATAAACTGTTGAAGAAACTGGGAAAATCCCCTTCTCTCCAGTAAACCTTTTTTTCCTCACAAGAACTCTCAATTGCTTACTTCCATTTGTTTAAAGGTCATGTTTCTACAATAGCCCTGAACAAACAAACCAAACACTGGCTCTAGATTAGGCCATTCCCGTTTTTTAGTAACTCCACTGCTAGACCACTAAATCCTACACACTGGCCCTTTACTGTGCGTCTTGGAGTCAGTTAGTTTTTAAAATGGTTTAGATATTAAGGCTTAAACCTTCATCAGCTGCAAACACAGCATTGACATATTTATCACCATGTAATGATGCCATGGCTAACGCATTACAACAACTGCCCATTTACACATCCAGCAGTCACAGAGCAACAGTCTTTATTTGGAGTTGTGTACTTGTGTGATGAATGTAATTCCAATAGCATTCTCCTCTTATCTCTGTTTTGCTTTCCACCAAATTTTGAGGGAAATATCTGGCTCTTGAGCTCCACCCTGGTCACGAGCTAGTCGCTAGCGCCGTCTGCCTGCTGTTTGGTGCTGTGCAGGTAGTGTATGGTGGGTTGCATTCAGAGCTTCTTTGCTCCCATCACACGTATTCATTTGATCCATTGTAATTATAAAACATAGCTTTAAAGAGAAGAATCTTTTTGACTGTGTTTGCTTCAGTTGATAGGCGTCTTTGCTGTGGTGGTTTCTGCTTGCTCATCTCGCCTCATCTCAACCCAGCCTCTGCTCTGTTGCCCAAATTTGAGTTTTGGATGGGTGATACAAACAGCAAGATGTGGCAGAGGGGGGAGTGATGGAGATCAATTAGAGCTGTGTGATTCCAGGCCAAAAACGTGAATGCAATTCCTGTCGGTCAAGGCAGATTTTGAGGAAATAAAAAGCATGCAACCCAGAAGGTTGTATCTTTGTTCAAACTGTTGAAATGACATCTATTACCAGGGATCTGGAACATATTACCTGTTTTGCTTCAGGAAATCAACTTGTTTTGGCCATAGATAAGTTTCCGCTGTGTTTTCTGGCTATCAAATCCATCTGATCCAAACTTTCAGCAACCTTCACTTTGTCATGGAAACTATCAAAGACCTCATCATTAAAACCAGGCTCTTGTTCATGCGGAGTGATGCGAAAATATCAGATTCACCCAGCGTAAGTGGATAAGAATTGCGTTTATATGTGCAGTGATGAAATTCGATCATTTGGCTCAAATCAGGAGCTCTAACTCTCATCCTAGCTGGAGAGGGAGAGGAGGGTGAGCGTGCAGTGCTTTGTTTGCTTTGATGATCACATTTCTCCCAGATATAAATATGAATCTGTCTCCAAAAGTGAAATTGAAAGTGAGCACAAGCGTTTGAACCGTACCACCGGTCTCACTCTGCCACACTAATAAGCTACAATTTGGCTTTGATGTGGAAGTGTGTCACCTCCTGAGGAGAGGAGCAGAGGGAGGGACTCTCCCTCTATCTCCCTTAGTTTTTTTTATCTCTTCCACAGACAGATATTATCAGTGTATGTGTGAGATGTCATCTGAAGAGAGAGAGACACACACACGCAATGTTCTGTACATCAAATTATTAATCACCATAACAAAGAATCAGCAGCAGCAGCGCCCACAAACTGGCACAAAAGGAAGTGGCAGTTCTGACTGTGGCTAAAGGAGAGATATCCATAATTAATTGATTGCAGATATGCCACATAGGACAAGCAGCTTTCATGACAAATTGCCAAGCATAAAGTGAAGAACAGAAAGACGGAGGAATAAAAGTCATCACGGGAAATTCATTTTTCATTCCCTCACGATTGTTCCTCTCATCTGACACCTCCGTCTGCCTGTCCGTCAGTCTCCCCACCCCCTCCCTCCTCGCTGCCCCCCCTCATTAACGCACCTTTCAACTGCGACATATAAATGACATTTGAATATGAATCACGAGCATTAACATTTATAAACATGAGGGTTTTATGATGGCTCGGTAATGAGGTGTTGTAAATCCCGGGGCCATGGCTCACAGTGCCAGTGGACACATAAACCGCCGAGAGCACTTTAACAAGGACACAACGCTGCACTCTGCTGTCCCACAGAGACATCATCTGAGATCCAGTAAAGCCACTAGAAAACTGATTTATCGGCTCATGCTGCAGGAAACAGACATATGTATATACATGCTGTACGACGTTAACATATAAATTGAATTCACAAGAGTATACAGCAGAGAGATACATGTGATTGTTTAAACAATGCCCATGATATTTCATCAAATTCATGGGCATTTACAGTACACGTTGCCTCTGGTCCTCTGAAAATCCTTTCCACAAGATTTTGGAGCCTTTAGGGATATAGCATTATTGAGATCAGGCACCAGTGTTGGGCAACAAGGCTTAGCTCGTTCTAATTCATCCCAAAGGTGTTAGATGGGGTTTGAGGTCAAAACTCTGTGTGGGCCAGTCAAGTTTTAAGCACAAAAAACTCTTTATCAACCTTTGTGCAAAAAGAATTGTTATGATAAAATAGGAAAAAGCCTTCTGCAACCAAACTGTTGCCACAAAGTCAGAAACACTGTAAAAATCAGAGGTTTTAAAAGTGGGAGGCGGGCCTCACAGGGGGACAGTTTCAGGGGAAACTTAGTGAATAACATTACATTAGTTATTAAAGAGAGATCACATAGAAATCCCTGTGTGTGGTTTGGTTAAAGAGATAGTTAGTTACAGTAGTTTTGGGGAACTTTACTGCCTTTCCCACTTTCCCAGTGTCAGAATATAATAAAAGCCTGAGGACCTTTTTTAATCCAGGAATTGAGCAAAATTCAACTCAGCAGGGGTGAGAGGGCACCTTTTTCCAAACTTTGATGAGGGGAGGCAGTCTCAGACTTGCTAAATCACAAAAAAAATAATTTATCTGCAAAACATACACTGAAAAGTACTTGTTTTTACTTAACATAAGCATTTCTCCTTAGAAAAAAAACTCCAAAAAACTGGATCTTGGTATGAAAACACTCTTTACTTGCCAAAATGTGTTCGGCACACAGGAGATCAGTCCACACAAGCAAACAAATCCAGTGGAAAAGGCAGAGGCAGAGGCAGAGTCGAAAAACAGGCATAGCCAAAAACAAGGGTAACACACGACACAAGGAAAAAAGGCTGGCACGGACGCAAAGGAACAAAGACGAACTGGCACTGAGGGGAAGTAACACAGGGAATATGTACTATACAGGTAGGGGAACTAATGAGACACAGGTGACAACAATCAAGGCGGGGCAAACAATGAAAAAGCGACGGGAAGTAAAGTAGAGTAAGACACAAAAGGAGGAAAACTACAATGTAGAACTAGAATAAAATATGCATAACTAGGTTTAATTAGTGTATAATGACATGAAAATAAGAATATTTTTATTTTTGTTACCTTAGAATGAGCCTTTTATATCTACAGATTCCGTCTGCCCCCTTCTACAGTAGCCCAGAACGGATAAATCAAACACTGGCTCTAGATAGGGACTTTTATCGTTTTTTGCGTGTTTCTGGGCCACCGTAGCTTCGCCTTTGCGCTTAGAAGGGGAGGGTTGTACGAGGGAGTTGCATTCTCCAACTACACTACTAGATGCCACTAAATCCTACACACTGGTCCTTTGAAATATTAAACTAAAACATTGCTAAATCCTGATTGGTACACAGAAATATGTGACATCATGATTCCCCCGCGTCGAACCAGAGAGAGGAGGCTCAGAGAATCAGACACTGAGCTCATCTTCCACTCTGACTATTAACGAGGAGCTGGTGATCAGGTTCAGGGTTAGTTTACCTGCTGACCCTGCAGGACCGGAGAAAGTGTCCGACCGGGTTCAAAGGTCAGACGGACCAGGATCTGATGTCCACAGTGAGCCAGATGAGTTCTCACACAGTCTTTAACAACCAAGAGTTCAACAGAAAGTCCACAGCCTCGTTCATACCGACATCATTTCCAGGACCGCAGAACTACAACTCCCAGGATGCAACACATATTTGGCAGATGTTCATTGATGAGAGTTATAACCTCTGTGTGTTTGTGTGTGTGTGTGTGTGTGTGTGCAGTCCCAGCAGCAGCAGAGCGGCAGTAAGCGTCCCAGTAACAGCACGCCTCCTCCCACTCAGCTCAACAAGATCAAATACTCCGGAGGTCCTCAGCTGGTGAAGAAGGAGCGGCGCCAGAGCTCGTCCCGCTTCAGCCTGACCAAGAACAGAGAGCTGCAGAAACTACCTGCACTCAAAGGTAACAAGTGTAATCCCATTACTTATCACCTGTTCAGGTTTGTAGAGACCTAACTGACTGACTGATGTGATGAAGAGGAGACATTTTTCCACTGAATTCTTGAATATATCTGTCTTCAAAGCCACTAACCAAACTACACTGATACAAAAAGTCCCTTAAGAGTTTCTGCTCTACCGCAGCCTCCATTTACACTAACACAAACTAACTGTTTTTATCAGTGGAGTCTGGTGGCTTTAAAGAGAGCATAGATGATATAACGGCTTCAGTTCCCGTCAGGAAGAGCTGTGTGAGCGCGAGGTAAAATACACACACCTGATATAGATTGTTTAAAATGAGCTGCCATGTCCACAGAAGAACTCCTCCACCTTAACAACAACCTTTGGTACTCAATAAAAGCGTGTGGGTTCTGGGTTCAATGTCAAAAATAACTTCCTGTCCTCCATCTGACGTCATCTGCAAACAAGATTTATAAACTATGCAAATGACACAAGAAATGTCAGTAAGATGACTTTTGTCTATAGACACTGTGTACTAGAGGCAGCTGTTACCAGATGTTTCTGTGATTTAATAACAGATCAAAAGGATTCTGAAAGAACTGCCACTGTCGGCCTGTCTGCAAGACGACGAGCAAACAACTTTTAAATGCTTGATTTCTGAATGGAGTTATGTCAGTATCTCCATATGAACACAAACAGTCTTCTTCTGTGGTGTCCACTGTCCTCGTCAGACGCGCCCCTGATGGAGCGCGAGGAGTTGTTCGTCCAGAAGCTGCGTCAGTGCTGCGTCCTGTTCGACTTCGTCAGCGACCCGCTCAGCGACCTCAAGTACAAAGAGGTGAAGAGAGCCGGACTCAACGAGATGGTCGAGTACATCACACACAACAGCGACGTGGTGACCGAGTCCATCTACCCCGAGGCCGTCCTCATGGTGAGAACACGTGTAACCATGACAACAGACTGGACCATGTTCAGCGAGTGTGTGTTCAGTGAGTGTGTGTGTGTGTGTGTTCAGTTCTCAGTGAACCTGTTCCGGACTCTTCCTCCGTCCTCCAACCCGACCGGAGCCGAGTTCGATCCCGAGGAGGACGAACCGACGCTGGAGGCTGCCTGGCCTCACCTGCAGGTACTGTGTGTGTGTGTGTGTGTGTGAGAGAGTGTGAGTGTGTGTGTGTGTGAGAGAGAGAGTGTGAGTGTGTGTGTGTGTGAGAGAGAGAGTGTTTGGGAGTGTCTGTGTGTGTGAGTGTGTTGTGTGTGAGTGTGAGTGGGTGGGTGGAGAGTGTCTGTGTGTTGTGCTGTGTGTGGTGGTGTCTGTGGAAGTGAGTGTGGAGAGTGAGGTGGTGTGGAGGGTGTTGATGTGTGGTCTGTGTGGGTTCTGTCGAGGATGTGTGAGAGTGAAGGAGTGTGTGAGTTGTGTGTGTCTGGTGTGTTGTGTGAGTGTGTGTGTTCTGTGGTGAGTGTGGTGTGTGGTGAGGTGTGGTGTGTGTGGTGTGTTGAGTGTGTGTGTGTGTGTGTGTGTGTGTGTGTGTTGTGTGTGTTGTGTCTGTGTGTGGAGTGAGGTGTCGTGTGTGTGAGTGTGTGGGTGTGTTGGTGTAGGTGTGTGTGTGAGTGAGTGTGTGTGGTGTCGTCTGTTTGTTGAACCAGTCAGGGTAAAAAAAATAAACATAGCAGTTGACAGACAATAGTGCGTACAACATGTCAATAAACAGTGCAGTAAACAGACAGATAAACAGTCAGTAACAGGCAATAAACGTCAGTTAAAAGACATAACGTCAGTAAACAGCAATAGACAGTGCGTAAACAGCAGTAAACCGTCGAGGATAAACAGACAATAAACGTTCGTAAACGGCACAATAAACAGTCAGTAAACAGGACAGTAAACGTCAGTAGAACAGCAAGTAAAATCGTCAGTTAAACAGACAGGTAAACAGGTCAGGTAAAAGACATAAAGAGAAATAAACAGTCAGTAAGACAGTAAGGCTAAACAGAACATAAGAGACAGTTGAACAGAATAACTTCAGAAGCAGAGACGCGCAGGTCAGTAACGGGTTTGAACAGTCTTACGTGTGGAACATTCTGGACTGAAAACGATGTTGTTCCACACTGAAGTCCTCGTCCGTTCCCATTCCAGTCCACTTGTGCCAAAAAATACATTGACCATTTGTACTTTGTATTTCGTTAACTTAGCGTTGTATTTTTGTAGTTTTTGTTTTTTTTTGTTTTTTGTTTTTTGTTTGTGTTTTTTCACCACTTGTGTTTGTGTTGAATGTCTTCTCTTCTTGTGTTGTTTCGTAGTATCCATATTGTTAAAAACTTTCCTTATATACATCCTTCACCGTATCTACTTCAATTTCCTCTTCTCCTCTCTACATCCTCCCCTATCAAAACATTTTTCTCAGTTCAGAATCATCATTAAAAACTTCCATGTACCACTCATTTATTTCTATTGGTTAACTGTGTCCATCAAAAACACACACAGTTATTTTTTTTTATTATTAATTCTGGTTATCCACCACAGCTCTGATTATACTTAATATGTCAATATATACTCGTATCTTTATGATTTATATTTATCATTATACCTTTATCTTTATTTGTGATTATATTTTGATCATTATCAACTGTATTCATTTATTGATTATATTTATCATTATACACTTTACTTTAATTTGATTTTATCATTTTACACTGGTATCTTATTTTATTATATTTATCAGTTACACACTTGGTATCTTTATTTATGATTTGTCAGTATACCTGTATCTTATGTTTATTATATTTATCCTTTATTCATTCAGACTTTTTAACTATTTCTTCTTATCTCGTTTTTCTATAATTTACTTTTTTTAGACACCTTTATGAATTTGTTAAATTGTATATTTTCTTAATGTTAGTTTTTTTTCATTTATTTTTTCTTTGTGTTTTATTCAACTGCTTATATTTGATCTTTTTAATTTTTATTTCTCCACTCAGAAAACAATATTCTAACTTATAAATCTGATCAGGTTTCATAAATCTTTACTATGTTGTATTGATATACTTACTTGTGTTTATCAGATCATTTCAGTCTTCCTAATTATACATTATTTTTCTTCGTACTTTTTTTTAAACATAAAATGTATCTTACCACTTGTTTTTTACATGATTTATCTATCTATACATTAACATCACA